TAGCGATTCTTTTTGAAAAAAGTAGCGTAAAAAATGTAATTATACATTTGTTAGTCTATTTATACATTTATTACAATGTAATTATACGTTTATTACAATGTAATTATAAATTTTTTACAGTGTTATTGTTACATTATTATTTTGTTACATTATTCTTTTTGAAAAAAGTAGTGATTCTTTTTGAAAAATGTAGTGTAAAAAATTAAATGATACATTTGTTACAGTCTTATTATACATTTATTACAATGTAATAATATGTTTTTTTACAATGTAATTATACATTACAGTGTTATTATACGTTTATTCCAATGTAATTATAAATTTTATTACAGTGTTATTATACATTTGTTACATTGTTATTTTGTTACATTCTTTTTGAAAAAAGTAGCGATTCTTTTTGAAAAAGTAGTGATTCTTGAAAAAATAGCGATTCTTTTTTTTATTTAAAGTAGCGATTCTTTTTGAAAAAGTAACGATTTTTAAAAAAAGTGGTGATTCTTTAAAAAAAACTAGTGATTCTTTTTGAAAAAGTAGCGATTCTTTTTGAAAAAAGTAGTGTAAAAAAATTTAATTATACATTTGTTACAGTCTTATTATACATTTATTACAATGTAATTATACATATTATACAATGTAATTATACGTTTATTACAATATAACTATACATAGTTTAAAAACTATGTATAGAACTATGAAAAACTATGTATAGAACTATGAAAAAGTAGCGATTCTTTTTTGAAAAAAAAAGCGATTCGTTTTGGAAAAGTATCGATTCACTTTTGAAAAAGTATCGGTTCATTTTTGAAAAAGTAGCGATTCTTTTTTGAAAAAGTAGCTATTCTTTTTTGAAAAAGTAGCAATTCTTTTTTTGAAAAAAGTATTGATTCTTTTTGAAAAAGTAGCGATTCATTTTTGAAAAAGTAGCGATTCTTTTTGAAAAAGTAGCGATTCACTTTTGAAAAAGTAGCGATTCTTTTTGAAAAAAGTAGCGATTGTTTTTGAAAAGTAGCGATTCTTTTTGAAAAGTAGCGATTGTTTTTGAAAAGTAGCGATTCTTTTTGAAAAAGTAGCGATTCTTTTTGAAAAAAGTAGCGTAAAAAATGTAATTATACATTTGTTAGTCTATTTATACATTTATTACAATGTAATTATACGTTTATTACAATGTAATTATACATTTTTTACAGTGTTATTGTTACATTATTATTTTGTTACATTATTCTTTTTGAAAAAAGTAGTGATTCTTTTTGAAAAAAGTAGTGTAAAAAATTAAATGATACATTTGTTACAGTCTTATTATACATTTATTACAATGTAATAATATGTTTTTTTACAATGTAATTATACATTACAGTGTTATTATACATTTATTCCAATGTAATTATAAATTTTATTAGTGTTATTATACATTTGTTACATTGTTATTTTGTTACATTCTTTTTGAAAAAAGTAGCGATTCTTTTTGAAAAAGTAGTGATTCTTGAAAAAATAGCGATTCTTTTTTTTATTTAAAGTAGCGATTCTTTTTGAAAAAGTAACGATTTTTAAAAAAAGTGGTGATTCTTTTAAAAAAACTAGTGATTCTTTTTGAAAAAGTAGCGATTCTTTTTGAAAAAAGTAGTGTAAAAAAATTTAATTATACATTTGTTACAGTCTTATTATACATTTATTACAATGTAATTATACATATTATACAATGTAATTATACGTTTATTACAATATAACTATACATAGTTTAAAAACTATGTATAGAACTATGAAAAACTATGTATAGAACTATGAAAAAGTAGCGATTCATTTTTGAAAAAGTAGCGATTCTTTTTGAAAAAGTAGTGATTCTTTTTGAAAAAGTAGCGATTCATTTTTGAAAAAGTAGCGATTCTTTTTGAAAAAGTAGCGATTCACTTTTGAAAAAGTAGCGATTCACTTTTGAAAAAGTAGCGATTCGTTTTGGAAAAGTATCGATTCACTTTTGAAAAAGTATCGGTTCATTTTTGAAAAAGTCGCGATTCTTTTTTGAAAAAGTAGTGATTCTTTTTTTTTGAAAAAAGTATTGATTCTTTTCGAAAAAGTAGTGATTCATTTTTGAAAAAGTAGCGATTCATTTATGAAAAAGTACTGATTTAACTGAATCTGTAAGTCAGCTACACTGTTTAATTCTGAATATTATATTTTATTCTGGTGCGCTTAACGTTATCGTTTTCTCAGAGTTTAGGCTCCTGTGTAATAGTAGCCTAGGCTATTAAGCAACTCAAACATACCAAACCAACAATTACTAAAAATACACAAAAACTGATTTTGCACGGGCATTGCACTAGTAATGATAAAAATCCATCCAGTGTTTTTTTTTTTAATCTCCTTATATGTTTTCCCCTGCCTCAAATTGAGCCGTTCGATCTTGTGACGTCACTAGATCGGACGCCCCTCCCACGATTGTTGATTGACAGCAGCGTTTCCACACAGACCCGCCCTGAGTGAGCTGTCACCATAGTCCGTCATTGTTGATACGCTGGAGCAGAATGGCGTCTAAGCGATTGTGGTGTTCTGTTCTTGGGTGTAATAGCGAACACAGCAGTCATTTTGATGTTCCTAAATCCGAACCGCTGAAGACGCAGTGGCTGAGTTTTGTTTACGAAGGGAATATTTCCCACGATCAAAGTCAATGCTTTCATGTTTGCGCGAATCATATCTCACCAGACTGCTTTATAAACGAGGGTATAAATCTGGTTTTGCTAAGCTGCTCCTGAAAAAAGAATTGGTACCAACTATTCATGTCCCTGCTGCAGCTCCAGAAGAAGTGAGTGTTAAGTTTTATTAACCTTTATATTAATCTTTGCAAATCGCTTGCACGCTTCACGATGAATGCGGAAAGGTTTACACTCAGGGTACATTACGGCATGTTTTCCATGTACGACGTTCTTAATATAATTCATAATCCCACGTTTAATGAACAACGCGTTATGGTTATTGTGTTATTACAAACTGTGTACGTATACATCAGTAAACACATAGCGTTCGTATCTCTACCCTGCCAGTACATACAAAGATAGATCAAAGTGACACGTTAGCCAACCATTCAGAAACGTCCTGTTCGAGCCTTAATTGTCTAACTTCTTCAAGGCCGTCATCTTGTTCCGGGTCCGACTCCGGTTCAAATTGATACGGTTGGCGATATTTTTTTTCCCAGGATGGTAGGCGAAGGTACTGCCTTTTTCGCCTCTGATTGGCTAGAAGGGCTCTCCTCCGATTGGTTATTTGATTTGGCCGTGAAACGTCATCAATTCAGATGAGAAGTTACACATATACACACACAACCTCTAAACCTACCCATCACACACACACACACACTAACCCGACCCCTAAACCTACCCATCACACACACACACTAACTCGACCCCTAAACCTACCCATCACACACACACACACTAACCCAAATCAAATAACTAATCGGAGGATAGCCCTTCTAGCCAATCAGAGGCGAAAAAGGCGGTACTTTCCCCTACCATCCTGGGGAAAAAAATATTGCATACGGTTGCACAGATGTGTCCTCAGAGACTCCCGCTGCCATTCTCTCTCCAAAATATACCCTCAACTGTTGTCAAGGCAACACTCCACGTGTGTTGTGTCAAAACAGTCATTATCATTTAAAGACACATGAACTTAAACGGCGTGCTGAGTTGTGTCTGACCAGGTAAAATGAGTGTTTTCTTACGATACTAATGAGAATTTTTAATTAAAGTATATTACAAACTTTTCATTTAGACCCTAAAGAATCAACTTAACTTGTATGAAAATGGCATTATATGACCCCTTTAAGACTAAAAATACACCATTTATTTTTTCAGATTTTTGTTACAATTTTATTTTTTTATTTTTTTAGATATAACATTTAAACTAAATTGTTTTAGTTTAGAACCTTTTGCACTCGTGTTCATTTTGACCCAAAAGTGATCTGTGGCTTTACACATGAAGTTATGCCATACACACACATACATACATACATCTATTAGATAGATTTGTCTCAAATTACTTCTGAAAAATACATTTAACAATTTAGGTAACCATTTAGGTGCCTGCCATCCATTTAACAACAGCCAGTTAATCAGTCATGTACAGTATACAGTAGGGATATATTACTTTATCAACAAGTAAAACTATGTAGCATTGCTGTAATTTGTACACATTAAAGATGTAAATATTAAAAAGTGTTCAAAAGAACAAGTAAAAAAAAAAAAAACAGTAAACGAACCCTGAAAAAAGCACAAGGAATGCATTAAAATGTTACACCCTTTATTTATTTTATCACACTAATTAAATCTGAACTCTTTTACATGAATTCTGTTTTTTTTTTACATGAATTAGTAAAGTCTTTGCTAGGAGTTCTGTGACTGATGTCCTCCGGTTATAATTACTGCTTCACTGCAGAAAACATTTGAAAGAAACATCTTGAGTTAAAAATTTAAAACTGAGTAGAATTGCAAAAAGACCAAATTGACCAAAAATGATTCATTGAAAATATTACTTTCAAAACGCAACTGTTTTGCATTCGCAATGATGTTACAAATCCCAACACATGGTTTATGGTATGTTCATTAAATTTTCCTTTAATATACACAAATAGTTTACAAATGTGTTAAACATTTTAGCTTCTTTTAGCTAACTCTTCACAAAACCTTCCAAAACTTTTATATTTTTTTTGTTTACTTTTTTTTCTGCACACGTTTAAATACACCTTGGAATATAATATTGTTTTAATATATATGTATATATATTATTTGCAAATGCTACCAGTTATCAAGATCAGACTGCTGCTTCAACAAAGACAACAGCCAAAAGTGAAACAACATCCTCAGAATATTAAGTTTTGTAAGTCTTGAATTTCTGATTCTTAGCACTGCACTTGGTTCCCAAAGTGCTCCAAAAACCATTATCATCGCCAAGATTCATTTCAGCATTCAAGGATGATTTATCATTCCTGACCTCATAGTCCAGTTATGGACATAAGCACTACCGTCTCGCTTTATACTCTGACAGAAGGGACACGTGGACGTACGGAAAGAGCCCGGAAGACAATGGAGTCAAAGATGGGTTATCGGACCTGTCCTCTACGCTTGAACCAAAGTCCAAACCCCTCTTCACAAGCCCCAGAAAGGTGCCAAGTTCCTGCGGTCCCTCTCGTACACGTCAGGAATGACACCGTATGGTGTCTGGATCATTTTCACAGAGTTCCTTCCAAACAGTTTCCTCTCGTACTCAATGAGTTGTCGCCAGAACCCTCCATTAGGACGAATGACGGGTCGGCGGGCCTTGACCCAGGCGTGAGCTTCGGCCAGGGAAACTCTGTGGTACTTCATGAGGTACGCCAAACAGAGTGAGGCGGAGCGGCTCACCCCAGCCGCGCAGTGCACCAGGACGGCTCCCCGTTTGCGGCCCACGCTGTGGATCTTATCAGCCACACTGTCAAAATAAAGCGAGATCGGCGAATGAGGCATGTCGGCCAGTGGCACTTTCACATACTCCATGTGCGGCCAGTTGAAGTTGGGCAGCTCGATGGTGGCGTTCACCACACAGGTAATCCCTTTGGACAGGAGGAGGCTGCGGTTGGATGCCACATTCCCCCGAGCAAGGAACAGGGAAGGAGTGATCTGGGCGATGCCCCCCAACAGGCTGCTGGTCTCGGGCACCAGTCGGGGGACAGCCGTGGGCACCACTGAACTGCGGTGATGGTGGTGGTGATGGTGGTCTTGGTGGTGGAAGAACCCCTGACTTCGGGAACCCATAGAGGAGCGGAGAAAGGAGACAGAGAAATAGAAACCTTGAGGTGGCGCCAGGATGTCTTTCAGTTCTCCGTGGTCATCTCAAAGTGAATGATGAGATCATACAGACCGTTGGGTGCACCTAAAACAAACCGAGAGCAACACAAGTCAGTTGGTTTGGAATAACAAGTAGTGCAACCTCTGGAACAAGTGCCTTGCACACGCAAAAAAATGTATACATCGTATGTCCATTGTGGGTTATGAACCTACAACCTTCTGGTTAGTCGTTAATAAAAAGAACATATGATCAGATTACATCATAAGTAAGGAACATCTAGATGTATAAAGGCAAAAATTATGATATGAAAATGTTCGGTAACGCTTCCTTTTACAGTACAGTACTTAACGTGTGCTTACAGTGTACTTACCTAGAAAGTACTGGCTAATATAAGGTAAGTACATGGGTTAGGGGTAGGTTCAGGGTTAGTACCTAGTTATTACCCAGTAATTATAATTATAAGTACATAGTAAGTACATGGGTAACAGGACTGTAAAAGGAAGCGTTACCAAATGTTCTTATGTGTACGCCAACTGAAAAGCATGTAGGTGAAATTGAGGCGCTTGCTCACATTTTTGAATTTAAGATTCAAGAACTGTGATTTATACAATGGGATGCGTTTAGGATTTTTTTTTTTGCATTTGGACATTTTATGGTTCGTTTTTAGGAACATTTCAGAAATCGACATACATTCACATTCAGGATCATTGTACGCACGTCCTTATAAATGAGGCCATAGAACACTGTCCCATGGAAACAAGTACTGTTTAGGCGCTTTTCTACTGCGTGGTACGACGCGGCTCGGTTTGCTTTTCCACTGCAGTTTATTACTGCTTTAAAGTGGATGGGATTATAGACTGATCATTATAGTTGCCCCGCCTATACTGCCGTGACATCATCGTAAACACGACACAAACACAAACAAACAGTCGGTTAAAGCAAGTTGTTTAAAAAAAGTTGTGTGAACAAATGATACTGGGGGTGACTGTTGCCGACTATTTATATCTAGTGGGATTGGTGTCTTGTGTTGCAAATCCAATGATGCTGGTAGTGACGATTCTCCCTGACCAATCAGTGATCTGCAGTGTTCACACGTCACATTTTAGTATTGTTACAGCTCGCTTTGGAGGTCAGGTGATACTAAAAAAGTGTCAAAGCGTCATATGTCCATTTTAATTTGAAGGCATTTTAAGAGTCCAGAGAGGTGCTTTACAAGTGTCGATGACTGAAGCTTCTTCGACGATGGTAAAACAACATTAGCATGGCTGAATGCTGGTTTAATGGACGTAATTGCTGTATGTACCCAGCAGATGTGCCCTTCTGTCAGACTCGCGTCCCTTGAGCTGTGCTTGAGAGTGTGGGGGCCAGACGGAGCAAGTGTTTACTGGAGCCTGGAGGACCCTTATTAATCAAACCAAGAACAAGGCTCGAAACCTGTTATACGCGAATACACTGTCTGACAGTACGCTTGATGTATCGCACAGAACAAGAGGGCAGCCAAGTGACTCAGTATTCTAGAGGAAAAATACCTTTTGGAGTTTGGAGTTGTAAAACTGACAACGATTCGACTGAATAACAATTCTTTACTAAAAAAAAAGCCATACATTATGAAACTTTAAATTTGGTCATGGTTTGGTTCAATCTGAATAAATTATTTTGCTTTGCAGACATCTAATGAATCAATAAGCCCCAAGAAGTTGTGGTTTACAGTGATTTTATAAAAGCTGAAGGGCATTGTTAGGCACGAAGCGGAGAATCACTGCAATCCACAGCTTCGTGGACTTACTGCCTTTATAAAAAGGTTACCACATGTTGCGCATACTGTGCCTGGCAAGATCTCATAAAATAAACACACAGCAACAAAAATGTAATAATTTATTGATAACAAATAGCAGAAAGGTTGCCAAGAATCACACATGCAATGGAAAGCATGCTTGGTGCAGTACTACTACTGTAACGAGGTGACAGGTATGTATTTTACAATAGCTTTAAACACGACTCTCAATCGAGGTTAAATAAGAATCTCGTTTTCTTCTTTTTTTTTTAAGCCAAAGTTAATTAACTGCCTGTGTTGTGATAGCAAGTCCAAGGTTATCCAACTTTTTTGCCTCAGAGAATTTGTTTTTATTCCCATTACATTACACCAAAATCTTCTTTAAGGTTGATCTAAGGCCATGATCAGTTCTTTATTCAGGGATATGCAATCAATGTTTTAACATTTAATTTAACATACATTTTTCAAGATTTCTTGTCAAACGTGCTCCTAATTGAAGAATCATCCATTAATGAACGCAGAGTATTACTATAATTTGATCATTATAATTAAGTATCATTATAATTGATGCACTGAACTTTCTTTGTCAGATTGATGCATGCATTTTTACATCCTGAGCTAAAAGACTTGCTTAAAATCAATGTCCCTATCACACACTAAAATGACTTCAAAATGCACTAGAACTAGTACATTTCTAGCATGCCTAGGGGGTTTAACCAACAAACATTTCATTGTGATCGGAGTAAAGGCATGGCTGAAAAAACTCTTTGTCTTCTGAAAATATGACTGAAGCACACAGCTGAAGGACCCAACGATCATGTTCTCAGGTAACACAATCATTCAGTCTTCAATTTTGGCCCTCAGAAGCCCCTGTGGATTCCAGGTGCGCTTTAATCTGCATCCTCCGATTTCTTGTGCTCGAGTCGCTGGCAGGCATGACAAACTACTGAGTGTAGAGCATCTGTTTTTACAGCCTACCTTTCAGACATCAACATGTTTTATTGAAGGGCAGACGGTCTACTTATGTCTTGTGTGCTGCATCATCCCTGAGGGCTCTATAACATTCATATTATTTGCAGTGGACTGGCCCTTAATAGTATGCCACAAATATCAAACCAATCATGTTAAACTAGAATTACATCTGATGTCTGTGCAAACAGCAGCTGTGGTGTGGTAGTTCCCCACCGTTTTTCAGAGCTTTATAGCATCATGTGGCCACTTCTATATGCGTTTCACCATATATTTTATTTATTTGAGTTTAATAGAATTGACAATGTTATATTAATAATATATAGATATTATTAATGCCTTATTTTTATTTGATATATTTTAATTATTATTTTAATAGTTTTTTTAATTATGATTATGATCTAATAATTATAATAAATAAATATTGTATTAATTAATTGCATTAAATTGACAGTATTCCTGAAATGCACAGTGGCAAAAGGACCAGCAATTTATGGCAGTGCCCTTGCGCCCAGTAGTCTGCTATACTGTGTTTGCATTAATAAAACCCATCTGCCCCAGTTTGTGCTGGCTGTCTCCCTGAGCCTTCCTCTACATCAATGAAAAACAGCCCGCCTGCCATTCTCAAGGGACTCTGATCGCAATAACATCTACAGTCTCTACCATCCTTTCAAACGGGGCACACAATCTCTCTCTGGCTGTCACTCAATTCTCACACTGAAATCACTGAGTTCGGATGCCACGTGTGGTTCCGCACAAACTCTTCTTCACAGCTTATGGGCTTGTTAACACAAAAGGGCAGGCAGTGTCATTGTGACTAAGTGTTCTTGGCTAAATTGTAGCTTTCGAATCAAATATGGCATCATAGTCATCCCAAACAGCAACATAGTGTCGGTCCAGATCCGGCTCACATCTGGTAAGCGTTGAATCCGCATGTCCCAGATGTGACCCGGATCTGGGCAGATACTATTTTGCAGTCTGGAATGTCAGTTCAGATGTCATCACGTCATTTGTTCTTGCTTATCTTGTGAACGAATGTCATTGGTGCATATTTGACTATTGTGCTTTTTTATTTTTTATTTATGTTGCTGTTTGAGCATGATAGAGGTCTGCAATGTAACAAAGCACAAAGTCACTCCAAAGGGAGTTATTCTCTATCAGTAAACACTGTTTCTGAACTCCCCGAAATGCCTCGATTGTAGCCTTGAGTTTTCTTACAGGAATGTACACATCTCAATATTTCTCATTTAAATAATTCCTGGTTGGGTTGCATTAGTAGCGAGTTGTCACAATGTCTAAGAGACAATATTTTTCCACCCCGAATCTAAACCCCCTATTTTTGGCTTGCCTTAGGCGGATGAACTGAGGAAACAGGTTAAAATGTATTCTTAACACTATTCCTCACCAGTATAAAACCACAACCTATTGTTGTTCTCAACATTTTTTCTGCTTTCTGAACCATGCAGTTTGATGCAGGTCAGATGTTATAAATGACACCGTTATCTAAAAGATGTATAAAATAAAGAATTACCACTGTGAAACGTCCTGCACAAGTAGTGCATGCGAAGGTGGTTTGGGTTCATCTTGTTCTTCTTGACGTTCATTATTGAACACAGACTCGAACTGATATTCCCAAACTGACACCATTACAGTAGTGTTTACAGCAACCTCAGGAAGCCTTCAGAGCTGATACTCGCTGGTTATGGTAAGGGGCGTTACATTTCCAACACACGATCTAAGCAGTAGACCAATCACAAAGAAACCAAAACTAAAGCAAAGCAGCACGTGAAAAAAGGTGCGACAACAATGTAAATTGTAAGAAAAATAACAAGTTTTTTTTAAAGTTAAATTATGTAAACATATTACCCCATGAACAAAATTATGAACTTGTTAATTAGCATAATAGGACCCCTTTAAGAACTATTGTGGAGGGGAAGCGGAAGGTTTTTTAAAAGATTAATTTCTGGTGCCGTAACCCATGACTACTGTAGGTGTTGAGGAATAAAGGCTTGATATAAGAGCAAAGATGAACCTCAGCAACCCAAAGTGCTGATAGATTCAAAGGCCTCACTGCTGACTATAACAGCTATTTATACAAGTGAGTGAGTAGAGAAGTGGGAAGAGAAGAAAGAGAGGAAATGAAGGAACATAGGCCTGCTCTTTTTGCTGTATTTGCATTACTTTTTGCTGAATGCATTGCTTCTAAACATAAAGCATATAGTTGTAGGAATATGAAAATGTCATTCCAAATCTTTCATTCCAAGTCTTCTGTATAACACCATAGAAAAGATTTTGAAAAACGATACAATAAAAAAAAGAAAATGACCAGGCGATGGATGTCAAGCTTCAAAAAAAGAACAAACGATCTATATAAAAGATATTCATATGACTCAATATGAAAGTCACTCTGCAGTGGTTCGGGTAATGAGACAAAAATGTATGGGGAAAAAAAGCTACAAGATATCTTCTTTTGTTGTCCATGGTTGAAAGAAAGTCATACAGGTTTGGAATGACATGAGAGCAACACTAGCAAATTAATTGCAACTATTTCTTCAAAGATAAATGTCTGCTTCTTGTATTTTTTTTATCAAAACACAATGTCTATGAAAACAAAAGGGACTAAAAATCCATCCCCCTGTACATTACAGGTAAATTAGAAGCAACCACTCAATCTTAAATTAATGTATTTTCCATTGGGCGCCAAGCAATTTTGCTACAAATGCAGTAAATCATTTTCCCCACCTGTGGAGTGGCGTGAACAGATATTCATGGCATGACAGTAATGGGCTGCTATGTCAACCTCATACACACACATACAGGCACTCATCACTCAGTGTGTGACTTTGGATCTGCCAACACTAGTGCACATCTCGGATTCAGTGCCGCAGGTCTCGGATGCTGTGTGTGGAAATACTCCCAGAGTCTGATTCCACCTCCGCAAGCATTAATGGGAATGAGAGACACCTGCTGAGAAACTCGAGCCCCAAAATGGCAGCCCTTCTTCCACACCAAATGTGGAAAACAGGAAACTAAACCTGAGCCGTGTTTACTCTACCAGCTTAATCTTGTCAATGGCCTAATGAAACAATCCATGCTCAATCAACAAGTGGTTCCAACATAAAGATTTAGTGACACTTTAGATGCAAATATTTTAAAGATTTAAATTTGAATATGCTGCAGATAAAATTGACAATCTGCCTAATAGGTCTATCAGTCCTGTTTCTCCTTAAATAACGGGGTTTCTTAGAGAATCATAAAAGAAAATACAATACTATATTGCACGCTGTTCATTTTTACATTTCTGTGTATTTCTAATTATTATGGTCGACCAATTATTATTTAAGTGGTCGACAAATATAGGTTTTTCAATGACCGATACCCATGCCGATATCCATACAGCAGGGTGACTGATACATAATGTACTGAATCTCCAAATTACTGAAATTAATATTAATTTTACACAATATAGTTTGATTTAAAGTACCAATAAAACAGAACACACTTGGACCAGATATAGCTTTTAGAGCCTACAAGGAATTTGAGTTGTAAAATATTTATTTGGACATGTAAAATTAAATTTTTGTATATAATTTTTTCGATTTTATCCAGGTGTAAAAACTGCGAGTTAGTGGAGTGCAGTTAGGCTATTTGTTAAGAGTGAACAACATGATAGTTGAAAAACAATTCATTAAAGAAAGCTGGCAAAACCTTAGCGATAATAATATTATAATATGTAAGTCAACAACACTGAGGTGAAAGGAAGAGGTTAATGCCAGTGAATGAGTGTAGATCGTATTTTGTTGCATTGAGCGCTTCGTGTCTGACTCAGTCAAGCACAGCAACCTGTTCCATCAATGGCATCCATGACACATTTTCAAAAAAAGCATTTGAATGAGAAATATTACTAAATATCTACTGATACGACGGCGACTCAGTTGGCTGCTCAATTTGAAAGAGACTAAGTGTAGTTCAAACTCTAGTGACGGAAAATGATTGAATCATCGTTGAGAACATGGCAAAAACATCGCGCAAAATTACAACTAGGCTAGCTCCACGCACGCGAACTGTTTATCTTCACTTTGCGCATTTTCTTTTTCTTTCATTAGAAGCATAAAACGCATAACATTTGAGTCGGACAAACACACTTGTAAATACGTTACATTCCGAGATTTAAAGACATAAACATTACAAAAGCGACATACTACACTGTTGCGTCAACATCAGCGTAGACTCTGTTTAACAAGATTACTCGTGTTCCTCTGAACCAAAGAACAGACTCAACTTACCTCAAACACAAAACATTGTCCTCTGAAATTATACACTGGTTACACATTCACTTGATGGCAGAATGTAGGCTATCTCTATCACGTAAACAATCTGATATTTCGGAAATATTCCGTAAAATTTGACAACTCCACGCACTTCGCCGTGATGGAGATGAGCGCGCGCGCGTATCTATGGTGCGTATGACAACAGGAAATTTTCTATTGGGAAAACATAAGCTTAAAGAGCACAGAAGCGCCTCCCCCGTCCAACACTACAGCCAGTCAGTCCTCATACTGTCACATCACGATCCACACTCAGCTACAAATATGACAATACATTCTCAGCAACAAACATCATGTGGACATGAGAATTACGCCACTATAATAAATGTAAAGAGCCTCAGGCACATCATATTTATGAGGGTGGTGCAAATATACAGGTCATTTTACTGGAGTTCAGAATATAATCTCTACTCATTTAGTAATTACTGTTGGATTAATTGTATTTTTAGACCAGTTGCCAGTAGTTTAGAAGCTGTTTGTCAATATAGGACTAAAAGGAACCACTAAAAAGATAAAAAGCAAGCAACGAATCATAACTTTCAGAGTTTGTGGATTGTACATTTCTCAAATAAAACACGATCTCATATTGTCAAATTATAAAGAAGTTTAAAGGAATAGTTAACTCATGATTTAGAATTCTGTCATTTACTCGCTTACGTGTTGCTGATGACTTTCTTCTTTGGAACATAAAATGAGTATTTTGCGTAAAAAATATAGCCGATAAAACATGAAATTGTCTTGAATTGTCATGACTTTCTGAGTATTGATCTTTTAGGCGTTTGATATGTAGCAATGTTGTTTTTCTTTTAAGTCACCATGAAATCAAAATGGACAATTATCATTTTTTACAGAATATTGCAGTATTTATTATAAAATGCTTTATCTGTGCACATCATTATACTTTTAAAATTCCATGTGCCCTCATAATCTATAATCAAATGAACATCTCTTCTCTGATGACGTGTTTACTGGCGCGAGGGCAGGACAACCTGTCAGTCACATGAGATCGACCACTAGTAAACCCACTGACAAAATCAAGTCCCAGCCAACATTTTTCTTGTTCAAAGATGTCACAATAGAGAATAAAAAAACTATAGCATCGTCCATTTCATGCTAACTTTAATGAAATGTATTATAACGTGTTACTGAGAACATTTTTATTGTAGGCTATGTGTAACCGGTCCTACTCGACCCGCTCTGAGCGGGATTGGAACCGGGGTCTCCGGACATGGAAGACAGGTGCACTAACAAGGACACTAAAGACTGCAGCCTCAAGCGCACCTCTTGAGGCCAGGGGAGTGAGGTTTACACACACAGATCTTACTGGTCTACGTCCGTTACACTCTACGACCCCCCTACACCTCACTCCCATCTGGGTCACGGCACCAAATGTAACCGGTCCTACTTGACCCACTCTAAGTGATATTTGAACCGGGGTCTCTGGCAAGGGAGGCGGAAGTGCTAACAAGAATGCTAAAGACTGCAGACTCTAGCATCTAGCGTCGCCTCTTGAGATTAGGGGAGTGAGGTTTACATGCACAGCTTTTACTGGCCTACGTCCGTTACATATGGAACAAAGCAGCCTGAACATTCTGCCTAACATCTCATTTTGTGTTCCATGGAAGAAATGAAGTCATACAGGTTTGGAAAAACATGAGGGTGTGTAAATGATGAAATAATTTTCAGTTATTTCTATTTCTCTGCCCACCCATCTGATGAATGGATAAATCTTGACTCATACACAAATAATTATACAGTGAATCACGAGGGCTTGCATGAAGATCATTTTAACCTGAAATTCATTTAATTAATTTTCATCAGTTGATTTATGTCTGGGAGTCTGACTTCACAATCACCGTAATAACACTTAAGCCAGAACATAATTGGCATGAGCAGTTTCTGGAATGGCACATCTCAAACACAAACGTCATGCTTATCGAGGTCAAGAATGCTAAGCTTCAGTCTGAGATGCTTTGCTGTTACAGTGCTACAAGAATTTGAGGCACAGAACTCAAACTCTTTATTTGAGATACCTCACCTCGGAGGCAAACACAGAGCTGTACTGTTTGGATTTCCAGGATAAATGTAGTGGCATCAAATGCAGGAACATTTTGAAAAGAGAGAGGACAAAGACTGAAAGAGTCATTGACACACCTGATACTCTCTGCTGGGGAGAGAGCTCAAGCCCAAGGGAGGGTCACTGCTTTCCTGTTGCTCTGAACAATACAGGCATTTTGACTACTGGTGTATACATATATATATATACACTCACCTAAAGGATTATTAGGAACACCTGTTGAATTTCTCATTAATGCAATTATCTAATCAACCAATCACATGGCAGTTGCTTCAATGCATTTAGGGGTGTGGTCCTGGTCAAGACAATCTCCTAAACTCCAAACTGAATGTCAGAATGGGAAAGAAAGGTGATTTAAGCAATTTTGTGCGTGGCATGGTTGTTGGTGCCAGACGGGCCGGTCTGAGTATTTCACAATCTGCTCAGTTACTGGGATTTTCACGCACAACCATTTCTAGGGTTTACAAAGAATGGTGTGAAAAGGAAAAAACATCCAGTATGCCGCAGTCCTGTGGGCGAAAATGCCTTGTTGATGCTAGAGGTCAGAGGAGAATGGGCCGACTGATTCAAGCTGATAGAAGAGCAACTTTGACTGAAATAACCACTCGTTACAACCGAGGTATGCAGCAAAGCATTTGTGAAGCCACAACACGCACAACCTTGAGGCGGATGGGCTACAACAGCAGAAGACCCCACCGGGTACCACTCATCTCCACTACAAATCGGAAAAAGAGGCTACAATTTGCAAGAGCTCACCAAAATTGGACAGTTGAAGCAGGGCTCGAATTTCGGCGCGGGATTGCGGGTAGAAAATCCGCCTCAAAAACAGCTGGCCAGTAACATTTTTCGCGGATTATATTGCGGTCTTCATGAGTATACTCTAAATATAGTCGCTTTTGTCTTTAATAAGCATAAAACGCATGCCAGTATACACAGGAGCCGTGCACTAGCTCTTAAAGTGACGGCAGCCATTTGTGTGTGTCATTAATTTTGTTGTCAAAACAACAAAAGATAGCTTTAAGTTAAAGGAATCAGGAATAATAGCCTGTGTATTTAATTTATTCAGGACTAAAATACTACCCAGTGTTATTTCCCATTTGATTACTTTATTCAGTTTCTGTATATGAATACTAGTGTTAGACCTATTCAAAAACGTTTCTCTTTATTTGTCTTTATTTGTATCTTTATTCTATTGTATTTATTTGTGCTACTTTTTTCAATTCAATTAAACAATTTAAATCAAGCTTCCTTGTGTTGTGTAAATTTACAACCCCCGTCCCCAATGTAAAAATGCAATGAGCGCAAACATTTAAGCAAGATAAATGTAATAATTTTGTTTGGAAAAAATGCTTTTCCCTTTCTCCCCCTCAAAAAAAAAAAAAAAATCCCCCCCATGAGAATCATCTAAGGGGGGATTTCCCCCCCATTTTCCAAAACGAAATTCAGGCCCTGTTGAAGACTGGAAAAATGTTGCCTGGTCTGATGAGTCTCGATTTCTGTTGAGACATTCAGATGGTAGAGTCAGAATTTGGCGTAAACAGAATGAGAACATGGATCCATCATGCCTTGTTACCACTGTGCAGGCTGGTGGTGGTGGTGTAATGGTGTGGGGGATGTTTTCTTGGCACACTTTAGGCCCCTTAGTGCCAATTGGGCATCGTTTAAATGCCACGGCCTACCTGAGCATTGTTTCTGACCATGTCCATCCCTTTATGGCCACCATGTACCCATCCTATGATGGCTACTTCCAGCAGGATAATGCACCATGTCACAAAGCTCGAATCATTTCAAATTGGTTTCTTGAACATGACAATGAGTTCACGGTACTAAAATGGCCCCCACAGTCACCAGATCTCAACCCAATAGAGCATCTTTGGGATGTGGTGGAACGGGAGCTTCGTGCCCTGGATGTGCATCCCACAAATCTCCATCAACTGCAAGATGCTATCCTATCAATATGGGCCAACATTTCTAAAGAATGCTTTCAGCACCTTGTTGAATCAATGCCACGTAGAATTAAGGCAGTTCTGAAGGCAAAAGGGGGTCAAACACAGTATTAGTATGGTGTTCCTAATAATCCTTTAGGTGAGTGTATGTATATATATATATATATAAACAAACTGCTTGTGTAAAGGAGGATGCAGAATAATGTAATTTATCCTGATTTCTTTTAAAGACCACACATAAAATGGTACAAAAACTGGCACTGGGACAGTACCCTTTAAAAAGGTTCTAAAATGTACAATTTAGGTACTAATGTACACTTTTGGTACCAATATGTACCTTTGAAATACTAATATGCACTCTTTAGGTACAAAGGTGTACCTTTTGAAAGGGTCCATCCTCAGTGATAGCTTTTGTACCTTTTTTTCAGAGAGTGCAGGAAAGTAAAATCAAAGTTTTTTGGCTTTAAATCCATGTCTATTAAGGCTATACCTTACACATTGCTGCCAATGCTCAAACATTTAGCAATAGACACTGTTCTCATGTCACATACCCATTTTCTTGTGCACTGAAAAAACATTGCAGAGCAATGAGGACACTGACAAAGCGCTGACAGACAGAGCAGGTTACTTGAAAAAGTCTCAGCTTTCAAATTCTGTCGATTTTTATTTCATTATTTTATTTATATATACATTAATAAGTTTAGAGGAAACATGATTGCTGGAGAGGAATGTGACTCACTGGCATGAGGATGATCATTGTTTAAAAAAGGAACAGCGATAGATGGAGAAAATGACAGAGAGAGAGAGAGAGGGCTGAGCCACAGAGACAAGACTAAAATGAGACTAAAATGTCAGATGAGTCACAGTCGTTCCAGTGAGACTGAGCTTTAATATGTTTCTACTGGCTTAAATGGAGGCAGAAAATTTACTGTGATGCTGTTGGGAAACAAGCCATAATCTGATCTAAATGGAGCCTCTCAACACCATACTCAACAAGGAGAATAAAAATATAGATCTGACCTACTGAAAACAAAAGCCCATGACACATTCTCAGAGTTCAGATGCCACCCTGTCACCAAGACAACGCTAACTCATCTCTTTGTATTTAGCCAATATTTAATTAAATCACTGAAAAAGAATTTCGAACCTGGCAGCAAACCCATTCCACTGCCCTTATGTGAGAGCTGGACCAGAAATAGATGTGG